AAAAAAAAAAAAAAAAAACGACAGGCACCCCCCGAAGCCTAGAATCCAGCCTCTACTACGATCGGGACTTGGCAAAAAAAAAAAAAAAAGATGCACCCGATCGTGTCTGGAGGAGTTTTCAGGTTCGTATTTCCTTTTTACACTACACACTCATGCCCCATCTATTCTGCGAGAGTCGAGTGCGGTTGCTTGTTTCCATCAAGCATTTGAAAGATCCAAGATACCAGATAGGCAGAAGTGAAAAAATAAATTAATTAATAATAATGATATAATAAATAATAATAATAATAATAATAATAATAATAATAATAATAATAATAATCATAATAATAAAAAAGCAGAAGAGGTAAGGTTAGACAAAAAGTGGAGGACCTGAATTCTGGCTGACACACACCACATCATTGTCCAGGGAAGCTGGACCCGATTACAAGCATATCATGCACATCATGGACACATCATGCACACATCATGGACACATCATGGACACATCATGCACACATCATGCACACAGACCACATCAGGGGTAGGGTTTGGTGCTTGGTCTGATCGCTAGGATTAGGCTCGATGTCATATATGGATTGATGAACATATACAGACAGTTCTGGACTGTAGGACATAGCTACACACCACTGTATAGGGACGCTGGACCCGATTTCCAGTTGACACACATCACATCATTGTACAGGGATGCTGGACCTGATTTCCAGCAGGTGCAGCTCCCCACCAATAGATGGAGCCTTCGACGCCGGGTGCCTACTTATCAGGGATGCTTTTATCACCTTGCTAAGTAGGTTTCCCGTATAGGAAGTAAAAAAAAAAAAGAAAAAAAAAAAAAAGTGGAGGAGGAGACGAACAACCCCTCCGCGCAGGACACCATACGGGAGCAGGGCCCATGAGAGGAGGGCTGAAGGGGCTCAGACCGTTCAGGGCTGGATCCTGGCATCTCTCTGCTGGCCAGGAGCTCTCTTGTACAGTACCAAGTCACTTACCAGGAGCTTGCGAATCAGATGGTCAAGCTTCGGACGACCTGCTGCGTTAATGCAGCCTCCGAGAGTCCAGATGAGAGAGAAGAGAAACAACCCATCAAGCCATGCAGTGATCGCCGTCGGATCTATTCGCACTGCCATCTCATCTGAGAAAAGAAAAGGAAAAAAAAAAAAAAAGCCACATCCACTCACAACATGTCATCAAAGAGCTGCAACAGTGGAGATGTATTGATTGGCCATTTTCAGATTTCTGTTACCCAACTCCCCTGAAACTTCTTCAAACAGATGCAAAAGAGTGAATCAGGCCATATTCACAGTAGCACTTTTAGACTAAGCTCTGGTCGTGATTGCTGTCACATTCATCCAGACGCATCCATAGTTACATAGTGTGAGTATGCCCTCAAAGTCACCTCTTTTAGGAATCACTATTTCTGTTTCTTTTCTGACAGAGAAGACTGCTTTCGCATGGATCTGCTTTCTTTCTTTCTTTCTTTAAGAAAGAAAAAAAAAACACAAAAATAAACCTTCCTTCGTATGTGGGAAAACCCACTTAACAAGGTGATAAGAGCAGCCCCGTTAAGAGGGCCCCAGTGTTGAAGCCTCCATCTATTGGTGGGGAGCTGCACCTGCTGGAAATCGGGTCCAGCTTCCCTATACAATGATGTGGTGTTTGTCAGCTGGAAATCGGGTCCAGCGTCCATATACAATGATGTGTGGAGATGTCATACTGAGCATCCAATACAGTGTGAATGTGTTCGTAAGATCTGTATACGTCGTATGGAGCCCAAGTCCCTTATCTATTGGTGGGGAGCTGCACCTGCTGGAAAAGGGGTCCAGGCTCCTTCTATCCTGGGCCAACGGCCTTGTATAGGTGTTAGCTGTATGCTTGATAGTACACACTGTCGAACACTTGTTGGGGGGGCCCAGTGGCGGGCCCCAGTCCCCCATGACAGCTCTGGGGGTTAGGGGTTCCGTTCCATGAGCTTATGGAGATTGTCTGCACTCCTCGGGCCCTGGGCTGTATTCCACGTGCTCTTCTCCCTCTGTTGTCACTCCTTGGTTCCGGATAAGATTTGTAGTCGATTGTCCTACAAAGGAATCCATGCTTGGCCGGCATACAGCAGAGGGTAGGGGGTAGAGGTCTGGGAGGGGGAGGGGGGGAGGGAGGAGGAGGGGAGTGAGGGGGCGGGGGGCGAGTCAAGGAGGGACTATTGTGAAATAAGACTGAAGTTGGTTGGTAGGTAGGGGACAGTAAAATGTGCACGTGGTAATCTTTCCCATTGCCGCTCTGTGTCCAGCCACGGTTTCTACCGCAGCTGGTTTTGTTGGTCCAGTTCCCATTATCTCTCTGTGTCATTGACCCACAAGACACAAAAGATGGCAGAGAGTTCATTCCGTTTGATACCATCCGGTTCGTTCTGCAGCGTTTTGGTAAGTTCTTTCCAGGCTGCATGTGTATTCGCAGTGATCGAATCTGCCACTGATATCCGCGCCTCCATGTATCTGTATGTGTTGTTTGTATTCTTCTTTCCAGGCTGCATGTGTATTCGCAGTGATCGAATCTTCCACTGATATCCTCGCTTCCATGCATCCGTATATGTATTGTTTGTATTCATGCGCGCATCTCATGCGCCATGCCGCCATGAGCATCGGTAGTCGTGTGTTGGTAAACAAGTTGATCATGAAAGGCAATGAGGCAGGTGCTTCCGGCGGCGGTTGCCCCAGCAGGATAGTCTCAGGGTCCCATGGCAGGTGGGATCCTGTCAAGTAGTGCCAAGCTGCACCCCACCAACTCCATAATTGGGCCACCATATGGCAGTCCAATAGGCAGTGTTCCAATGTGGCCCGTTGTTCGGGGGGAGGTTGTCCCGCAGCAGGTGCAGAGTGGGGAGAGCTCCCCTTTCTCTTTTTTTTTTTTTTTTTTTCCAGAGGGAAATGCTCCAATCTATTCGTGGGGACCAGCACGTACTGGGAACCCGGCCCTTTCTCTTCCAGGTTCGTCCTTGATGTGATCCAGTCTGGAGTGGGGACACTCCTGTGTATAATCTGCCGCTACAGTGCTCTGAGATTGGTGGGTCTGATGCGTGAATAGTACTGAGTACGCTCTCCATTTCAGATTTTGGAGATCCTCATTTTTTAGGGGAGAGTCTCGGGCCCACTGTGCTCCGGTGCGGTCCGAGATCTGAGCTGGTTTTGTGTGTCATCCTGTATTGTATACTGCCATATCTGGAGCTTGCAAACACCCCCCAAATCCCACTCCCATTCTTGCGGATTGAATGGAAGCTGGCTGAGGGCGGTAGAAGACTCATACGCATACCAAGTGTTACTCTCATCATTCAGTACACATACTCTCACGAGTCCGGTTGGGGGTCTTTTTTTTTTTTTTTTTTTTTTTTTTTGCCAGAAGGAACCTCTTCACCCTATATCAGGTGCCAGATATACTGCTATTACACACTGGTTCCTTCCCCACCCTCCCTTGTCATTCTAATCACCCTTTGTCCGTTTCTACTCCTGACCAAACCATTGTACATCTACCATTGCTATGGCTGCTGGGGGAAACATATCTGGAAACTCTCAGGTCTCTTCATCGAAATGTTGGGGTCGACCTGCAGCCAATAACCGGGTAACCAGCCCGGAAATTATACCTGGATGTGGTGGCCCGTGGATAAAACCGTTGGATAAGCAGTTGTGCTGGATGAGAGCGGAGTGTGAGACTATTGCCTGTGTGGCGGATGCCTTGTGTGGTATTGTGTGTGTGTGTGTGTGTGTGAGTTGAAGGACACTACAGCCATGCAGGGGTGGGGTGGATATCACGACCAGCATGAATCCACTTTTGTACACCGTGCCATGGCTGTAGTGGTTAAGAGACTCGGTTCTTGAGGCTGAGGGCACCGGTTCAAATCCATGCGTGCACGGAGGAGGTCCTTTGGCTGATAAAGTGCAGACTGCAGCCAATCCTTGAACCCGAGGTTGTAGTCCTTGTTGAGGGCGCCACCTCCTCCCTCATCCCCCTTCTCCCCAGGCCATTCGACCTGTGCCATCCTGCTGCCCCTGTCCCCCCCAGCCAGTCTGCGCAGAATGTTTGTATTTCCTTGATGATATCTGCTTTCTATGTGAAGTGTTCCATTTTGCCCTGAACGCTTTTCCATTGTATCCTTATTTCTGTTTCGATAAATTGCCTGACAATGTCCGCTGTTTCCCCGTCCCCCATTCTGGAAAACACATCTTTTCGACCATAATTCCCACACGACTGCCTTTCTGGCAGTGGAAAAAAGGTTATTGGCATAGTGGGATGCTTGTGGTCTACGCCACTCACCTAGCAGTATAGTCTCCCAACTCCAGGACCATTCCTCCTCGGTTCCTAGTTGTGACCAGACGCGGTCCCACCATCGCCACATTAGTACAGCCCTTGGGCATTGGAGGACGATGCGTTCTATTGTTTCACATATTCCTCGACTCGGGAAACCTGCATAGCAGGATTTGCACCATGGGAGAGCCTCCCCTCTTTGTTCCAGGTTCGTTCTGTCGATTATCCGATTGTTTGTGGGGAGGCACCTATGGCTGATTTGCCATTGCAGGGAGGCAAACTTCGGTGGTCTCTCTTTCACGCCCTTGAACCATTGTTGGCCTCTAATCTGATCATCACCTAAGTTTAAGTGTCTCTTCCATCTGTCCCCTATCCTTGCCCGTACATCCACCCTTGGTCTAATCATCCTATAGGTGGTTCTTAGTTCAGTGAGATGCACTGGTTGCCCTTGCCGACCCCTCTCCCATTGCCATTCGAGTGGGTCTAGGGCTAAAGAGGACAGGGGGGTTTCCGGTCGGTAGACTTGCCATAGAGTCCTCCCCTCTTTGAGGTACTCCAACACCCGGATTCTGTAAAAGGTTGATCATCGCCCCTTCCGTTCTGGCTTCCACTACGGTACCTATTTGTAAGGGGAGCTCCTCTATCCTGACCGCTACCCAATCCTGTTCTTGTAATGACGGTCCTTTCCTCAGGATTACCACCCAGGCTAGGGGAATCGATAATATCAATTGTTCTAGGGCGTCCGCCATCTTACGAACGTGGGGAAGGCTGGGTCTGAGTTGTTGGGCAGATTTCCAGTCCTTGTTTCCTTCATCTCATATGTCTCCTACCCTTAGAATCCCGTATCTGACCGAGGAGGACCAACGGGGATCCGAACTACAGAAGACCTGGCCTTGCGTGTCCGTGATTGCTCTATTACCAAAGAGGGGTTGGCGCAAGATTTCCTCCATGCATTTCGGGGACGGTCTATCAGGGATGGGCAACATTCTCCAGTTTCGGATAAGGTTGACCCAAAACTTGCCCTTGATCAGGTCTCGTCTTGCTGCTCCTCTATCCCCTTCCACTGTTGGGTGTGATTTGGCTCGGGGGATAGACCAATACCGGTCCTCGAGCCCTGTAAATGGGTCCACTCTGTGATCGGTGCTTGGTGCAAGTCTACGGATATGTTCCCTCGCCAGGTCCCACCACGGGGGGTTTATACCGATAATATTTTTTTTATCCCATTGGATTGATAGGGCTATGGCTTGTAGAGAGGGGTCCAACAATCCCAAACCTCCCCTGGTCTTTGGCTGGACCAGGGTGTCCCAAGGTATCCAGCTGATCACATTTCGCTGCTCGTCATCCCCTCGCCAGATAAAGTGTACTAAGTGTCGTTTGAGGGCCCTGACACTAGGCTTACTTAGCTGCCAAAGGGCTGATTTATACCATATTGATGCTAGCACAATGTTATTGATGATCAACACTCTTCCGAAGATAGAGGTGTTTTTCCTTCCCCATTCCTGCATTTTCTGTAGCGCAGGCCTAGTGATTCATTCGTCGTTGCTCGTCGGCGGGCCTAAAGCGGAAAATGTCACCCCTAGGACGTGTATCTGTTCCTCGAGGGGTCTCCAGTCTACCTTCGACTGTTCACGGGGATGAACCCCGTGGAAGTGGACCCAACAGCCTTGTGTTTTGCTTCCCCAGTTGACGGCCATGCCCGAGACCTGAGTAAAGCGCCCCATCAGGGCTTGAATTTCGTCCATATTACTTTGGGTGGCTTCCACAACTATTGTCAAGTCGTCCGCAAACATCGAGTAGACAGGTATGGCTTCCTCTGGGATGCCTGCCAAATGAAGCCTAGAGATCTTTTTGTTAGTTCTCAGATTGGCAGTCAGCGCTTCCATTACAACGAGGAAAAGAAAAGGGGCTATTGGGTCCCCCTACATTACTGAGCGTTGTAGTTGGATTTCCGGAGCTAGGAGTCCGTTCACCTGCACCCGTGTAGTCGCATTGCAGTGGAGTATTTTTATCCAATCTCGAAATTCCGGACCAAAATTCAACGTAAGCAAGCATTTATCCAAGAATCTCCAGTCTACGTGATCGTATGTTTTTTTGAAGTCAATAAACAGTATGGCTGCATTTTGCCGCGATTGCCTTGATAGTTAATTAATTCATTGACCAATAGCACGCTATCCTGGATGTTCCTATTGCACATAAATCTTGTTTGTGTCAGGTGGATTATCTCCTCTAGGACTGGGATCATCCTATTGGCCAGTGCCTTCGCCACCAGCTTGTATACCACAGTGAGAAGGGTGATCGGGCGATAGTTTTTAATATTAGTTTTATCCCCATTTTTGTAAAGCAGGGTAAGAATTCCTTGACCTGCAAACTCCCCCATGTTCCCCGATGTTTTGACCTGCCTATAGTGCTCCATCAGGTCCGTCGACATAGGGGACCACATTTTCTCGCAAAATTCTTTAAGAAGCCCATCCACCCCGGGTGTTTTGTCCTCCTCCATCTGCAGGAGGGCTTTCCAAATTTCTTCCTTTCGCAACGGTTTTTCCAGGTCCTCCCGTTGGCTGTCAGAGATTTTATGAGAGAGAGGGGTTAAAAAGTCGTCGATCTTGCCTTCTCTAGTTTGCTCCATTTCTTCTGCAAGGTTGGATGAGAATAATTCTTTGTAAAAGTCCCTGGCCACTTTCAGGCTGTGCGCCGAGGAGTATGAAGCAATCTCTCTTGTTTTAACCGGATCGTATAGTCCCTCTATGGTGGTTCTTCTGACCCTTGTTTGGGCCAGTGCGAAGAAGGATGCGTCCATCTGTCCTTCCGTGGTGTGTCTGGCTAATTTTCCCCTGATGATAGACCCGTGCCATCTTTGTTGAGCATAGGCCAAAAGTTGTTCTTTCAGTTTTTGTAACTCTGCGGGTTCTGTCTGGGGGTGCTGGTGCAGAGCAATGTTATTTTTCTGTTCAAGATTCCGGATTTTCTCCTAAATGTCAATTTCCTGTGCATATTCTTTTTCGCTCGTATTTTTAAAAATTCGTTGCATTTTTTGGTGCGGTGGTCTAGTTCCTCCTCTCTGATTACTGTTGACCATCTTTCCCCTGGTAGTTGAGTTTTGTAGGCTTGCAGCCCCACATTCCCCGCGTCCACAGCTTCCATGTTGTATATTACCATAGGGACCGGCCTTCCTCGGCCAGGACAACCCAGTCCTCCTGTGTGATCGTCAGTCTTTTCTTAAGCTGTGATACCCATGCTAGCGGAATGGCTTCCTGCAATTCTGGCAAGCCATCCTCTACCTTCCTAACTTGGGTTAGTTGTGGTCTTAGTTCTGCCGCGGTCTTCCATGAGTTCTTTTGCATGCTCCATAAGTCACCGACAGAATACAGTCCCCGCTTCACCCAAGGAAGCCATCGTGAATGATTCTGTAGGGAAAAGGGTTTCGCAGTGTGGGCAAGATATAGGGTGGCACAAACAGAGTGTCTCCATATTTCCTCCCATTGCAGTGGGACCTGTTTTTGGGTCAGTCCTCTTTCTCTCCAGAGACGTAGGAGTGAGAGCCATAGGGGGTCGGTTCTCATATCCCATTTGGCGGTGGCTGCTGGTGTGCCCTCTCGTCTCGTCTTGAGGGGGATCGGTAGCGACCAGCACTTGTTGGTCATCCACTGCAACGGGTGCACTTGTCTTTCGGCGCTGCTCTGCGGGGTCAGGGCTAAGATTTGGATTAGAGCATATGGTGCCCATGGAATGTCATTCCCTAGAAGCAGGTGGATCAAGAATTTGAATATCAATGTTTTTTTCTCAATCTCAGAATCTACTATGCCCAGCCCCACTTTAGAGCGCTGTTGTGCTATTATCCCCCATGCCACTCTCTTGCTACATGCGGTGCGGTCGTGGTCCCCTCCGCAGTGCCTCTGTCCAGGTGGTGTGAGAGCACCACCCAGATGGAGGGCTTTTTTTTTTTTTTAAACACAAGCTCCATCTATTGGTGGGGAGCAACACCTGCTGGAAACCGGGTCCAGCGTCCCATAGATACAACCATATCCTCACAAATTGGCACAAACTGGGAACCGGGCCCAGTGTCCCATAACGAGCACATTCAGAAAAGTCATCAGAAAATTCCATGAAGATGAAACTAGAAGCCTACTAAGAATTTTGGAGCTACTTCAGACTTTTTTCCAAGGAACTTCAGAGTTAGACAAAATTCAAAAAACGACTCAAGAATCCACCATCAGTCCTCTTTACCTCACTCCGGCAAGACTTAATGCAGCAAAGCCACCATCTCTACTGCTGCTATGCCCTGTTTCTGTCCTACCAGCTAGCCCCTTCACTAGTAGGACGCGTGATATCTTTCTCTCTCTCACCTCATTCCTCCTTTTTTTAAGGCTAGAAAGCTRCTATGAATCAGAAATATTGGAACCGCTTCAGACATGTCTACAACCCTCCAACCAATCCCCAGGTCCCCACTCMAGCAAGACTTACTGCAGCAGAGCCACCATCTCTGCTGCTGCTGTGCTCTATTACCATCCTACCAGCTAGCCCACTCACTAGTAGGACGCGTGATACCCCACCTGCAGGTGCCACAGWTCTGTCTTCGTCATCGAAAGGGAGGTCCTGGAAGACCGACAAGTGCAACAGTTCTGTCTTTRTCATCGAAGGGGAGGYCCCGGGTACTCCCCCAACTCCATCCTAGTAAAGGGTTCGAAGGACCATATCCTCGGCACGAGTCAGGCACAATCCTCAGCCTGCAATCTCCTGCCCCCTCGGAGATTCCAGTCTCCGTCATCAAGAGGGCAAGCCAGCGCTGCCCGAGGCCAATCGCACCAGGATGAACCCTCATCAGCCGGTACCCATCCGGCAACTAAGGCTGCCCGATGCCAATCGCATCTAATGAAAGATCCCCAAGCTGGTACCCCTCGGACAACCTAATTCCACCCTCTCTCCGTCCTCACAAAGAATCATCTCGTGCCCTTTACCCCTCGCCTTGAACAGATCCCCCAAAACCCAACAGAACCTCCACTCACCTCCTTCTCCTCCCCAACTCCGTCCTAGTAAAGAGTTCGAGGCCTGCAGGTGGGATGGCTCCAATCCATTGGTGGGGAGCTGCACCTGCTGGAGAACAGGTCCAGTGTCCCAGAAACCCTGCAAATGTGATGTATGGGACATAGCAACCTCCTCCACATGACCGTCCTCCATCCCCCTAGCACAACCCCTTTTCCTCTCTTCTCCTTTTTCCTCTTCCTGTGCCCCCCCTCTCTCCTACCCCTCCTCCTCTCTCCTCCTTATTCCCAGGCTCTCCTGGGCCTCCCTCTCTTCCTTCTTCCCTTTCCCCTTCGGCACGCTTCCCCCCCCCCCCCCCCCCCCCCCCCCCCCCCCCCCCCCCCCCCCCCCCCCCATTTCTATTCCCCTACTGCCGTCTATCTTTCCGCCCAGTTCCTGATTTCTATTCCCCTACTGCCGTCTCTCTATCCGCCCAGTTCCCTCGGAACCTGTTCCATTCCTACCTTTCCTCCTTTCCCCCCTTTATCCCCTGGTCTCTCTGGGAATCAGACCAAGCAAGCGTTCACCTATAGTGGTCTCTATTCTGTCACCATGTGCTCTTTGGGAGCTTTTAGGGGGTATTTTGCTGATCGACGTCAGGGAAGGTCGTGAGCTCCCCTCTCTCACTTCAAAGTCTTACAAAGTTTGTATAGCATTTCCCCAGCATTTGTTTACTTGACAGTTAATCCCCTCCACTACGTGAGGGCCATCAATGCTGCCCAAGAAATACTGACAACTCTTGTATTCAAATTGGATGCTGGACCCGTTTCCAGCAGGTGCAGCCCCCCACCAATAGCTGGGCGCACCAAAAAAAAAAGTAGTGGAAAGAGGCTTCAGGTTGTGCTGTGACGTACGAGTCATGAGCTCTGGGTACATGAGAGCCTTGTAGAGGCGCATTAGACTCTGCACCATGTTGTGTTCCTGCATGCAGCAAAGAGTCCGTTCCAAGGATGATTTGTTGTCAGCAAGAAAGGAGAGGCAAATGATTATCCTGTTTTATACACGGCAGTTCTTTCCGCTCTTTCTTGTTCCAACTATGGGACCGACATTTGTTACTTTCAAAGTTCTGAGGCAAGGAACCTTCACAAACAAAAATATCTGGAGAAGAGACCAGAATGGTCAATCAACTCGACTTCGATTCTCACTTCAACTGACTTAACTCCATGCAAATATGTTCGAACAACGGTGTATGCTCCTACCAGCATCACTAGCACCGCGGGAGGTTTTTGTTCAAAAAAAAAAAAAAAAAAAAAAAAAAAAAAAAAAAAAAAAAACCATAAAGTTGCAAACAGTTCTTTGTTTTTTATGACGTCCTTCAGAGGTCTATTGTAGGAGGTGGTAAGAGCAACCCCCAACAATAGGCCTCCTGTATGGACGGCTCCAATCTTATTGGTAGGGGGCAGCACCTGCTGGAAACCGGGTCCAGCACCCCGTTATACGTGGAAAGGAAGGTTTTCTAAGCATATATGTGTTGGTCTGAACTGATTGCCCTTCTCCCGAGGGGATTAACTTCCCATTCAATTCAGTAGAGCCCTTTACACCATCCTTTCATCCTGCTGCCCTGAGGGCTGAGTCTGCCCCCTTCGGCCATCCAGTGACCCAGAGGGTCAGGACCCTTGCCTTGTCCTTCAAAGTTCCTTATTTATCCCAATTGGCATCTACCAAGGCCCCTGTTCTGGGGTGACAGTGGAGGTCACATCTGATTCAACCTCAGTTGTTTAACATTCATTACTGTTTTCCTGGCCCCCAGAAAGACATTTCGTTTGTGTTGGGAAGGGACCAAACGCTCCTCCTTGTGTGTATTAGCTCCCTTGTCGTCCGCCAGGATCGTCTTCTGCCCTATCCCCATGTCAGGAGGTGGATCCTCCTTGTCCTTGCCTGGCCAACATAAAAGGGGGAGGAAGGAGTGGCGAAGGCAGGGGGGCTTTGGACGGAGGCATATG